TATCGACTTTTTATCCATTCACTAAAGTGAATCTATATAATTCTATATAAATCTATGTAATTTATATAATATATACATAGAGCTACTGAAGTATATATACATACCTAAGAGTAATATATAGGTAGACGGAATCATGAAACTATTATAATATACTTTCTGCTCTAGGTGTGTATGTACTATGTACCTACTATATAATAATATGTAGGTAGTTCAATTGACGAAACGTATGATACCAGGAAATTTCATATATTGACTACCTATACCTTATAATAATATAAAATTTATACGTTTGAATTGTATAGATACGAGTGCACGTCATCGATGCATACCGAAATAAATATTACATACAATATGGCTACACGTAAAATAGTATTAATTTTATTATAAAACTATAATAATATTCAAACAACTATTTTCGTATAATAACATAACAGTTTCCTTGAGTAAAAGAAAATACCGAAGGTTGTTTTTCTTAAAAAACTATTCTTTTCATGCGGAAAATGTTAAATGTTAATCGTGTAGATATACAATTTTGTGTTTTTCTTTTCTAAGTAACCCACTAATGCATATATTATGTATATAACTTATTAATACATCTTAACGCTATTATAACATGAATCGAATTTTAAAGTAACATTACAATATCGCATCGATAATAAATAATAATAATTTTTTTTGAAACAACTATCGTTAGTATTTAAGGTTATAGGTACGTTTAATGCATCCGCGTTTTGTAAATATCTGATGGTTTTTGTTATATTACGAAAAAATTGGCGGAACAAATTTAATTTCTATAGTGCCTAATGTGTTCTATTTTTATATAATAAGAGCATATTATTACATTACGTGCAGATGTGTATGATACGTACAAATAACTATTGCCTTTCGTTGTAATTATGAAGTCGTAACACTGGTCGTAATAGTAGTCGTACCTACATGTTAAAATACAGTAGGTCATTAAATTATATTTTAATGTATTATATCTCGTTCATAATTATTTGACAGTTTTTGTTTTTATCTGTATAGTTTGTTTATATGTTATTTTTTTCTCATCATTGTTGCAAATGCAATTTGTCATTTAAAACCTAATCATAATTCATAATATAATTTTGTAAATAATTTTTATTTAGTATCACTAATTAATAATTATCAAAAACACATGAACTACAGATAAAATTAAATACAATTATAACCGGACGAATTTAAGGTTATTACGAGACATATTTTATTATTTAAGCAACATTTTTAAGTGTATTGCTTTTAACGTTAATAATTGATTTTTAAATACTGGTGACTGCAGCTTTTCTATGTGTTCGACCAACTATACATGATATATATATAAATTTACGCCCTTCAATTTCCATCTACATCAATACGAGTCCAATGATTCTACTTCTACCTAGTCTATAGTCTATACCTAACAGATATTTCATATCGTTTTTGCGTTAAAATATGTGGTTTATAAGTAACATAATTTATCGTGTGTATCTTAGATAGTTAGATCATATTATACTTTTTGTATATGATCTTAGGTGTGTAATGTGTATATATGAATAGAGATAAACGCACTGGGATACTTAGATCTTTTGTAGAACAATGATTTTTATTTGTCATAAATACGGTACGTGGTATCAGTTACGAAACAAACAAGACAATACACATTATATAGGTATAATATGAGCTTCGTAACGATGATACTCGTACATAAATTTAACTTCTATAATTTATAATTTATGTTTAAGTAAATCCTACTATCATAATATATCTTTTTTTTAATATTTAGGTTTGAATTTGAACCTTGGATGGATGTACTGCTTTCACGTAGGCATCGGATAACCTAATCCTTTTACTCTAATGTTTTATTCAGATTGTACATCTGCAATGGTAGTATAGTATATAGCATATTATATTATTATAGTCTAGCACTTTAGTTCGAAACAATACCACGCTTAACGCGGTAATCATTTCAATTGTCCTTGGTGATGGTGCGGTAGGTTGGTTTCGTTTTTTATACTAGGTATCAGACACAAAAAATATTAATATATAATATTATAATTTGTAAAAACGACATTGACCACAACGCATAATTAGGTGTAGGATACCACTGCTTACTTCTATGTTTACGATGCATACTTGTAGGTACTACAATATAATACTACTACTTTTATTGTTTTACTTACGATTTATTTGTTATTATTTAATACTTACGTTTGGCAGTTTTTTGGCGTTTTATACAATGCTTAACCTACATGCCTACATGCCTAACTAGAACGATTACATTTATAACGCTTTGAAGGGGGGGGGGATTCTTACAAACAAAAATGCAATTGGTCCAATATAATATACTTATTCTCGATCTCGAAGTGCCGGATACAAAACTATATAATTATAATATTGTCATGACTCTTAGATATTTCTAATAACGGGCGTAACTGCCATAATGATTTTTTCCAATCACACGATCATAATGCTGTACTATTGTTTATACTGATTTTCATTGTAAGGATTCGTAATTCGATTTATATCCCTGTGTTCGATAATGTTTAGTATATAGATTATAGGTTTACCCATTTATAACGAGATAATAATGTAGGTATTAATGTGTTATTCATTAAATGTAAATATACCGTGGCAATAAAGATTTACACGACGGACGTCGTTTAACACGACTATAATAATAAATATAATATAATGCTACTCTCCTAGCCGCCGACGCATTTGCTCGTAACCGAAATTGTAAAATCATTTATTATTATGACAAGTTATATGTGTGTTGTATTATAACAACAGGGGCGATAACCCGAACATTACGTCCGTACTATATTATACACGGGTATAGTATAATAAATAATAATTTATATCATTAACGAATCATTGATGGATCATTAATGATAATTATTTAACCATATATTAAAGAAATTATCAGTTTATGCCGTTTAAAAAAACTCACCGAGAAGCTTAAAGATCATTTTCGTTGCTTAATTAAACGCCAAAACTATAACTTAATTATACGGAATACAAAATCTATGTGTTCTGTTTAATAATTTACTGAACTACGCACCTATGTAACTATTTTTGTGTACAGAAAGTTGCACGTTGGGGTGCGATTGATTCGTGTTATTATTATTATTTTTTATTTTATTATTATGAATAATACATTTATAATTATTATTACTATCAATAATTTAACCATCTCTTAAGGCAGTCTTGTTTTCCGGAAAATGAAATCTATTGGGTGATTGTTTTTGAGTGGAACATTTTAAACATGTCTATAATTATCATTATTGCGTATTTGCGTTGTCGAGTTGGGTATCCGTTCGATAACTTTTTGCTCCAATAAACACCAAACAAGTGAATCCTAATATTATAATATATATTATATATATATATATATATATATCTAATTAGTAATTATAGAATTATAGTCGTTCAAAGTAAAACTTACGTGTTTTGTTGTTGTTTCGTTTCTCGCGTACCTATATTGTTTTGTTTTGCAAATTATTTTCAATATTTTTTGCAGGAAATCTGAATTGATGTTGCAAAACAAAACTAACCAATATTAATGCTTATTAGTATGTCGATTAAATTTAGAGACGTCCCTGCTGAATTTTGGAGCATCTATATGCTATTTTATAGTATTCTCGGTTGTATAGTGGATACTGCAATGAATATACTCTACAACATTGATTTTTTTATTCAATATTTAAATCTATATACTTATTATGTTATAATATTTCGTTATAATAACGGTCCATAGTGTAAGAATGAGCTGTCGTTTGAATTTGATGCATTGAAAAAAAAAACTGGAAACCTTCCAAACCTTCGAAATCCTCCATAGTAAACAGTTTTTTCTCAGCGAACGGTAGCCAATTTCGTTGGCGCTAAATTCCTTTCATCGTCTCCTCAACTAAAGTGTATTGCACGTATATAGGTACAACGCGTAAATATACGCATGTGCTGCCTAGGAGCCAACAAACGAGAAACATGTGTCTACCCAGTGGCCAGTACCCGTGTACAGTTTTGCGGAATGTCTGTCGGAAAGTATATGGTAGTGTTCTGTCAAACACGTTTCAAGTGACTGATTTGGAGGAAAGATGCGTGTATTTATAGTAGATGCTAGAGAATATAATATAAGGCGCGTGTAATGTCGTAATATAGCGATTGACCTACAACTAAATAGAAAAATATCAGATAGTTAGTATAGCTTTATTCTATAATATAGATGCATTTATTTTTCATAATTATTCATAAATATATATAATTATTATATATTTATAAGTATTTAATATTATACATACCTTATTTGTTTCTTGATTCATTGTCTCACATTCTCCAGTTCGTTTGACGATAGAATTATAGTTAAAAAAAATTATTTTATTCGTTAAACACATTCACATGACACATGTTCATATTATGGTATATTCATATATTAATTGCATTGAGCTGTGTATGCATCTGTAATATTACATAGGTATAGTATTTTTTTTGGAGAATTTTTAATAATTGAAACCAACACCTTGTTAAATATATATATAGGTAAAATATATTATGTATGCAGTATTAGTATTAGTATAAATATAAACATAATCTTTAAAAATAATTTAGAGATACACAATATATAATATTTATATGTATCGGATAATTATTTAGGTAAAATTGAAGAGTCGTAAAAGTATAAACATTTCTAGTGATGACTGCAAAGTCAATGATCCAATTTGCTAGCCAAATGTCTGTTTTAAAGTTTTCGCACTATCGTTGTACAAAGCAGTAGTACAGTCTAACTGCCAAATGTCTAAAGTTTACGATATCTTAAAATTAAAAAAACTACATAATAATAACGTACTTAATTTTTTGTGTTTGCATTATATTTCTTTACGATGTAAATTCTCTGCCTATTTATAACAATAATGTAACATATATAGTTTAAACTATGTATACGTTACGTATTATGTACCAATATTATTGTTTATACTAAGCCCCGTGCGTGTGATGTGTTACAGAGAGGAGGTTCGAGATCACACTGTCCGATGGGGTGCTAAATTCGAGTTCGTCTGTAAGATGAGCGCCAACGCTTCCACCGGGATAATGGACCCGTGTAACCTTCGAATTTCTGTTCGCAAAGTATATCATACTCGTGGATGCGGAATCATCGTTTTGTAAAAAAATGATTTTAATCGTTTGTGTCATATAGGAATTGAAAGGTGGTCGTAGCTTTCAAAAACTCGGTTTCACCGATGTGAATTTGGCTGAATTGGCTGGAGCTGGGTTGAGTTCGAGGCGCTGTTTACTGGAAGGGTACGATACCCGGCACCATCGACAGGACAACTCGATGCTCCGGATATCTGTGTCCATGAACATGTTAGCCGGAGACATATTGTTCAAAGTGTAAGTAGAAATTACTTTTATAGTTTTAAGTGTACATGTTTAGTGTTTTCAGATTCATCCCACTATATTATAATTTGTAAGTCCTTAGTAAATTTACTAGTCATAATAATATAGTGAACATTATTTTTCGGATGTTTAATGTACGAGTACAAGTTTAACTTTTTGGTCTTCAACGTAATTAATGTATATAAAACTATTATTACAAATATTTTCGACTTTCCGCAGGCCAACATCCGCCTTAAATCAAAAACCCACTACCAATGGTGATATCCCGCAACGCGAAGATACCGAATACCCGAGCAGCGGATTCGGTAGTTTGCCGAATACGCGATCCTTATTTCCATCAGGTATGCATACGCAGATACACTTCGGGTATATGGCCGCCAATTGATGACGTTAACCTACTATGAGCTAAAATGTATAAGTCTATAAGATTTAATCGGCCTAGATGCGCAGAACGTTACAAATATTTATTTTTTAAGAAGTAATTCAAATGAGTTGCCTCCAAGGTTAAGTCTTTCATCATAATTTGTTTAGATTTAATTATTTTTCATACTACAATATATTATGATAATGGAGACATGACATTGTATACAATTTATATCCGAAATTTCTCAGTGGGCGGAGACTGATTTCATATTGTTTTGTTTGTTTTTTTTTTGGCATATTTTTATTTGTCTTCAACTAACGATGCGTTATTCTTGTATACCGATTAAATTACGTGGGTAGGTAGTTGAATATCGATTTCGTGTTTTTTCCACTTATGAATGTTTAATTTTTTGTACGTAAATAATATTATTTATACCTATATATTAAATATATAATAAATATAATTAAATGTGACTCTCTGACCTACTTCTGAAATTCCCTGTATAGTCTATAAACTCTAGGTACTTCATATATTCAAATCTTGGTCGTCGCTCTATAGTCTGCACTGTGTTGTTTAATAGGTTTGCTTAGGTTCTTAAAGACTAGAATAATTATGGAAAACGGGAGGTCGCATTATTAACCAACATTATGGAATAAGGTTTGTGTGACTCAAGATATCCCTGATCTAATTATGATAATGGAGTTCTATATAACTAACTTTTTTTTTAATGCATTTCGACGTTCGCTAATAGTATAATATAGGAAACTATGTAGCGTATAATTACCTTCTAAAAATATTTAGACTGTTTTTCTTTAATCTTATTGTTACGAAATAAAAACTATTTCTGTGGAAGACAAAACATAATAATAAATTACTATTTTCTTCGTTTTTATGAAAAACACAACATAAAATGTGAACAACAGTTATTAGTACATTATTTTAAGAGTTGACGTTTTAAATCTGTGATATTAATGATTTTTTCGAACTTAAAAAAAGCAATTAATTTCAACAATACGCATATTTTCTAGTTGCAAAAAAAAATATATGTATATGTAATACCATACAAATTGCTTTAATTGAATTTGCATAATATACGGTTTTCTGCGTTTCTAAAACAACACGGGACGTCGAATTAAACGATTTTTTCTTTAAAAATACAATATGATGAGTACCTACATTTTATCGTTTATTTATAATTACTGTTTATAATACACAATACACCGCAGCCGTCTTGCTGAATAAAGCGTCACGTGGTGAAAAGCTAAAGCCTGTGCATATTGTTGGGTACCTGTATACGGGCCGTGTATTCTCAGCTGATCTGTGATATATTTTAATGTACACTTAATGATACCGGATATAAAACATGTTTGTAGACATTCCATCCATGAGCGGTTTAGAGAAACACGACGCAGTGTCCGAGTCGAATCAAAATCATTCGGAACAATTAGAAGACGATGCGATGGTGATGGTACACGACAACGCCGCCGCGCCCACGGCCACTAACCACTTGGCCGGCTCGAGTGGACATTCCCGTAACTCATCGAACACCAGCAAAGGCTCTAGTTCTCACAACTCTCATTCGAGACACAGCAGTTCCGGTGACAGCGGGCACGTCCGGTAATATAATAATTATTATACGTTGAATAAAATAATAAAATATCCTTGTACAGTGGTCGGATACCTATTGTGTTGTGCGATATAATATACGTACTAGTGTACTACTATATACCACGTACACTTCAGTTACCTAGCATAGATGTATTATACATCATGTATAGGTATGTTAAGTATGTTTGTATTATAGTGCAGCGTTATCACTTATTAGTTAATTGAATGATGAGTACATTTAAAAAGTATTTTCGCAGTCGAATGAAATGTACGAAACTTAAGTACCCACTTATATCGTGATCTATAGACCACGGTCTCGTAAATATTGATACATTCGTTTTTCGTTCTATTCGGACAATGTTCAAATTGTATAGGTATTATATTATGACGGGTGAATATAATCGAGTTTTATGATCGTGAATATGGGCCACCCAATCTCTTCCAAACCAATCTAACCCATATCAAAGCTTATCAAATAATTAGCAAGTTATTATTTTCAAGTACGGGATAAAAAATAAGAAAGGCGTGGGCCAAGCTAGCTCATCTTCTTTCACCCACGCGTTTGAAACTTCGAAACTGATATCGTTTGATTCTTTATAGTTAGCAATTAATTTCAAGTCCATAAAAAAAATGTAAAGGCCACCCTACGATCTGTGCGAATTTTTTAAGTTCGGTGGGCCAGCCCACCTTTTTTAACCCACTCGTTCAAAACTGGTAAAAATAGCTGGCCCACTGAACTTCAAAAATTCGCACAGGTCGTAGGGTGGATTTGCACATTTTTTTTATGGACTACCAATTATTACCTGGTAATTATAAAGCCGCGTACACACTTCTAACATTTGCGCGTAACATCCTTTGATGCGGCCAAATTTACCGACAACTGGTGAGTGGTGGAACGGTGTTACGGCGTTACGGCGTAACAGAAAATGTTACAAGTGTGTACGCGGCTTTAGGAATCGAAATAATCGAATGATACCAGTTTCGAACGTGTGGGTGAAAAAAGTTAGGCTACGTGAAGTATTGGCCACCTTTCTTTATGTTTGTCCCGTATATACTTGAAAATAATGACTTGCACATTTTAAAACCTAGCTTGCTAATTATTTGCTAAATGTTGATATGAGTTAGATTGATTTGAGAGAAATTGGGTGGGTCATCTTCACGATCATTAGAATTTTATCATTCTCATCCGTCCGCTAACCGCTGCAGAGTTAATTTTTTTTCGTATCGTATATTATATTATCAAGTTTTTTGTAGACGTAACAGTAATATTACTACCTATCTTTATATTACTGTGGGGACGACTAATATAATATATCATAGTATTTTCTATTTAATAATTACTGCGTACCTACGTGAATGTCAAAATCGCGAAGTACCTACCTATCTACTATTGTGACATACCTACATCAGGTCGCCGTCCTGGCCCGTGTGGTCGCCTAGTCTGTTGCCGCCGCCGGCCACGCCTCCACCGTCGCCGCCGCATCAACAGCACCCTCAGCAGCCTCCCACTACGCCCTTGTGGAGCAGCCCTCGGTCAAGATTCTGGTCGCTACGCCAGGCCAAACACCAGCCGCCGTCGCCTCAAGTGTGCACCCACCAGGACGCATTCCGGACTCCGGACAACAAGCACGGCGGAGGGTTCCGGTTCCCGCCGTGGTCCGGACCGTCGCCCCGGACCAACTCGTCACCTGGCCTGTCGCCCCTTACCCCAGATTCCCCTAATAGGTAACGATCCTCCTGCCGTCATGGCACCCGCGAGCTACGCCACCTGCTGTCTTTTTCTTAAGATAACACGCTTCAGCCTTCACTTTAACTACCTTCGTATGCTACCTCTTATCATCGTCGATACGGACCTATACCTTTATATAGCAAAATATGTTCACATGTACTTCCATTTATATATTTTTATATTCTTGCAATAATTTTAATTACATTTTTCGGGCGTTTAAGAGTTAAGACATTCTTGTTTTTTTTGACGGATTTTGTTTTTGGTAAAGTGTTTATTTACAAATTTAACTATACTATATTACACTTATTGAACTACATTTTAATTATTTTGTAAATATACTCTGGAAATGTTTTTGATTACCCAACTATGAACTAACAGTTAACAATAACTTGGTTAGTATTGGTATACAGAACTATTGATTATTAATATTAAATTAATTGCTTATTATTATTGAATTTAGACGACCATAGTAAGTATTGTAGAGAACGATTTTGTGAGATATAGCCGGCAACCTCTACTTCGTGGTGTTAGCTAAACTTAATAAAAAATTGTTTCCACAATCAATGTTGTGCCTATTACAAGAATAATAATTTCAGAAGATAAAAATAGTAGTTGTCGTTTAAAAAAAGTATCTAAAATATATTGCCTATCAATTTGAATATTTTTTTATGTATATTGGTATGAGAAGAAAATCTGTCTAATATGTTTAAAAATTGTACCGTAAATTAGGAGGTTTCTTAATTTTTTCTCGCATGATTCTTGATTTTGTTGTGTACCTAATAAACCTATGTCAAATTTTAATTTAATCACTCGACTCATCCCGCGCATCACGGATGTTGTTGATTTTGATAAAATATAATATACGAGATGTGTTTAGTCATAGTCGTTAATATATATCATTTATAAATTATTATATTTTGTCTGCGGCTGTGTTAGTTTAAAAAAAAAGTGTTGCCGACGAATTCAACTGCATTATAACAGTTAAGATGTATATACATACAATATGTAGGTACTATGTAGTAGGTTTTCCGAACGTAATATGTAGGTATATATATGTATATCGGGCGATTGACGTTTGAAAAAATATTACGTGTTTATTTTTATATGTATTCAGTATGGAATTTATTTGTCGAGTAGGTCGATCGCAATGTAAATTTCATAAATCTGTTTGAAATTCAAAGTTTTGAATTATGAGTATTGTATGATATACAGATGATCATCTATAGGTATATCTACATTCTACATAATATGTGCTCAAAACGTATAAATGTAAAAAAAAGAATTTAAAAGTATTAATTTTAACCACGTTTACAATATATTTGTATCGCGTAAGACTGACTCGACATATTATTTCCGTGCTGTATATATTTTCTACAATAATATGTGGGTAATTTATGCTTACAAACAATTTTAAGACTTATGGGTGGGTGTCTGGGGAGAGCTGGAGGGTTCTTTAGCTCTATAAGAGGTTTTGAGTTACGTACATACGTTCTACTTATATACATAATCTAAATGCACTTAACTCTTGTACATCGTCGTGTTTGTGTGTGTGTTGTGCGTGTTCAGGGGCAGTTGTATGCACCACCGCAAACTGCTGTTGGAAAGCTCGGCTACGGGTGGTTGCGGCGCAGTGCTGCCGGGCCTGCTCAACATGAACTCGCTTCAGAAGCTTCCGGAACTGGACAAATCGCTCAGCACTTCCGACACCTTAGTGTCGTCTCCGTTCAGGCGGCCGAGCCAAATGTTAGTCGGTTGGCGTTCGTGTTTGTGTGTGTGTGTGTGTGTGTGTGTGCATGAGATGTGTCTATGCGTCATATAATATACTTGCATCCGTTTGCGACGTTTTTACAGCTTTTATCGCTGCCGAGTTAAAATTTTCGAATTATCTTCGTTTCGAATATGATAATTGATAATATATATTGCATGAATTTTCTTTTTTAACAGTTTTGTTTTCCATCCGTCGGATGATTTGGAATAGTACATACCTATATATACATTATATATTTACTTATAACGTGGTTTCAGACTTTCAGTATACATGTATATTGATTATTAGTATTATATACATATTTTCTTAGTAATTTGGTATGATTTTGAAAATAATACTTTCATGTACAGAGTGTAACAGGAAGACCTGACAGAGGAAATAGCTTTTGTTCTAATCGATATTTTAAAATTGTTTTTTAATATATAATTTATAGTCACTCGTGCTACACGTATAATATAATTTGTTTTTTATTATTCAATAATAAAAATACCAAATTTTAAATTTGATTCAATTTTTTTTGGAAAAATTCAAGAAAGGCAATTTCAGATTTGTTTATGATAACAAATTTGATGGTAAAAACATTTATTTAAGTAAAGTAGTTTATTTTTTAGAATTTTTTTAAAATATCAATATTTTTTGTGTAAATTAATTTAGAACGTAATAATTTTTTTCAAAACATTATTTTTGGGAATTTTCTGACATGAGTATATTTCTTAAATTATTTCTTAATCATATAGTTTTCACAATTTAAGTAGCATCAGATTTTTTTCAGGTCTTCCTGTTACACATATATTGAATTAATTATAACACTACATTTTGATAAAAAATTATGCTTTTTTCTATTATAATTCGTTTTTAGGCTATTTTTTTCTAATGACAACTTATTTTTAATATCATAATCAAATGCAGAATATTTTGTTAAAACTTTCGATATATATGTTTCAAATTGAAATATTAAATAAATAGTTTTTTTTTTAATAATTTTCAGAGTTATGCAATAATTTGGACCTATGCCATTTTACTGCGTTCATCGAAATTTTAAATGCATTTTAATATTAAATAAATCTTAAAAAAACCATTTATTGATTATTCGTTTATGGCATTTTTTAGAAAAGTATTCTGGTTCTAACTAGGAAATAAAAAAAGGCAGGTAAGTGGATGTTATTCTGCTGTACAGTAGGTTACAAGTGGGTCACTGTATAATGGATTGTATCAAATTTGAATTCAATGATTAATATCATTGTATACGAAAAACTATCTGACCGGAGACGGTTTGTCAGTCTGGATATTTTATATTGTTATTATTTATTATAGCCTGTAAGTTGAATTAATATTATAAATTACAACAAAATAACTAAAATTGTTATTCGTCACAATTTTTTATTCGTTTCCATGGCGATAAACAAAGCTTTAGAAATTAAAATCCCGTTTTTAGTGGTTTTTTTTTTTAATTTGTCGGTGGTTTTTCCCGTGACATAAAATTAATATTGAGAAAATCGAAAATTACCTTTTTAAAGTCAATTGATCCAATTTGCTAAAAAATAAGATACGATATGTTGAAATAAAAGAACTTTATATACACGATAAAAAAAAATAAAAAAATAAACACCATTGTAAAATCACTAGCTTCCTCGCTCCGCTCAGAATCCAAAATATAGATTTTTTTAAATACTACATAAAAGTAATGTGTTTCAAAATCAAAGGAATTTTTTAGCCGTGTAATTAGATATATATAATACTATATGTGTATGGATAATGACTCCGAGGTAAAAACCTAGCTGATATGTTATCGTCTTATCGGTATAATTAAAAATGATTAATTTATATAGTTTTTTTTTTTAGAATCGCGCAATAGATAAACTTATCGAAACTATAAATATTTAATTTAGTTGAATTTTTTTACTTATTTCTGATTTCTTTTAATCTGAGTTAATCCGTCGGATATGAACATTGACGCGATTAATGAACTATAAAAAAACTATTTATTTTTCTTTAAGTTTTTTTTTAATTGTTTTTTTTACACAATCGTTACGGGGTATTTACAACAGAGATCTCAGAAAATGTGTAAATATATGATGCTACTATAATATATTTGAAAACACAGTAGTGCTTAACATTCATGTTGTATGGAATTAATCATCCTCAAAGCGCTTATTGTTTTTCATTGCATGAATTATTATTTATTATTAATATTATTTTGCTTTTATGTTTTATACTCATACTTATACAATGTAGTGTTTTTCGAAAATTATTAATGATACTATAATAGTATTAATGTATTATGTATCCCCTTCGTCTCCCTTACTGCTGCATATTTACGGGGCAAAGTTTTTCGAAAATTATCGATTTTAATCATTTTACGCAGTCGTAAATTTACCAAAAATAAAATAAAACTCATAAAGTCGTAACATTTATAATTCATGATGGTGCCGTTCCGCTGTTCGCTGCTGTTAATAATAATAATATATTGTTTCTCTCGCTTCTCGACGCAATAATTAAATTTCAGTTTAATATCTTAAGTATAATAATGTGATATATTTCAGCCGCATCAAGTTTCTCATATTGGGTATAATAATAATAGTATGGTGACATTTAACGATTTTTATGCACGCGCGTTTCGCTTTTCAGCACCCGCAGTTGGCGTATTACACTCATTTCACTTCATATTATTATAGTATATACCTACTATAGGTAGGAATATTATTTTATGTGACGCCTTGCACCCCATGTATTGCGTGAAATATTTACATAATATGCGGGGTGTTTCAAACTGTGTGGACTGCGTTAATTTGTGGTCAAACTCTCGTGCGTTTTTCTATCCTATGTCTGCAGTCTGCACAAGTCAGCTAGATAGTGACGATACATATAAAAAATAATTTTAAACGACATGCAAAAATGTATCTAATAAAATACCATGATGTGATCTGTATAATGATTTAAATAATTAATCGTATGATATTTTAACATTCATTTTTTATGAAATTTCTTTTGAAAATTTTATCAATGTCACTATTATACGCACGACGCATACAACATTTGAAACCCCCTGTATACATATATTATACGTGATGTATAAAATATGCTTGCATGCCTAATACATATATATATATAAGCCGTTAGTTATACATTGTGCTCGCTCTTCATTGTCTCTATTTCTGATCGATTTGTCTCTGCGTGTCCCTTTCAGCCTGACGTCAAGCGGCACGGCCATATCCGCGTCCCAAGCATCTCCCGTGCTCAGCGGTGTCGAGACCGGTTCGTTAGATCGCGGCAAAGCTGCCTTGGAGCGGCGCAACAAGAAGTCGGCCGCGACGGGTGGCAGTGTCACCGACGATGGCTGTGCAAAGGCCACTGGGCGCGTGGAGGTGACCAGGGTCAACCCGGATAGTCTCATTGACCAGCTGCTCAGGGCCACCAACCTGGACGACCATTCGGCTGACGAGGACAATAAGCCCAGTAAGTTTAATTTACTTATATATTAACAATTAATATTATATCACATTATTTTTGTTACCTATTATTATTGTTGTCGTTACTCATCAGCAAAATTTCGGAAGGAGCTTACGCCGAAAATATAAGTCACCATACCTACTAAAAATATTACTATATCATACTATGATATATATTATATACTTATTAGTTATTACTATATAATTTTTTCTTTTTACTTAAGTATGCCACATGATTAATAATTAAAAAACATAGGTACTAATTTAAAAAAAATTAGTTTTTAAAAATTAAATTTAGGATACCTGCAAGGGTTTTTTCTATGACTTAAATTGTAAGTACTGTGGTTAAATTTGATTATTCCATAATAGGTATTATGTCTAAAATACCATACTAAAAAAGTAAGTTTTTGGGTTTTTAGAGTCTACCCCGAATTTTGAAAAAAAATTAATTTTTCCCAAGTTTTTTCGGTATTAATTCCATTGCAACAAAGAGCGATATTTTTTCACACTATCAGATTCAGTGCTTTTTAAGACACATTTAGAAATAAATTGAAAATTGAAAAATGAGCATGGTACTAAACTAAATTTGTTTCCATTTCATTGAATATTTTGATACTAAAGATATTATTTTTTTAAATACTTATTTGGATTTTAGAGTATTCAAATTTCAAGTACGTTAAGCTATTCACTATAATTTATACAACTCAACAAATAAGAATAAGTTAACAATTAATGGAAAAAAATAACTATCAAATTTATGAATATACATTAGGTTCGTTATAATAATTTATATTATGTAAATACATATTATATTACTTCAACTAATTGATAACACATACATTAAAATACTAAACACAAAATGTAAATAGGTATTAAATTTAAAATTGTAAATGTATTTTATCATAAACAGTAACTATAAGTGTTTTACTTATAAAACCATACAAATCAATATTCATTTTTTTATTAGTTATCAAGCTCTAATTTGTATATATTAAATTATAATATTACTAATCTTTAGTATATAGTTTCTTTATCTATAACTTGCCCACTCCCCACAAGAATTTTATCAGTATGTGTCTAGTATACTTTGTATGATATTATTCAAATTCCAACTAATTATAAAATATTTTTATTTTTTCGGTTTTATAGGATCGGGGCTACAGTTGTTCATTGCCAAAGACGGTACGACCACACTTGGCAGTCAGGACGTCAAGTGTCACATGTCTAACAGTCTGTTTAAACAGGTTGTGATGGAAGACAATAGATAACGCTCAGAGCGTGTAAATCTAAGATTATGTTCTATTTAGTAAGTCAAATAAAAACTAATGATATGATAATAGTACACATTTGTAATCCAAATTTTTATTTTTATTTTTACAGAGTATTTACGAGCTTAACGCTTTTTTTGTTTTATAAAAAAGCTTACTTTGACTGAACACCCAATAAGTTTCGGTCGTGGTGCTGCTTTCCATTCATCGTACGGCACATGCATTGCCTCTAATAGTCTTATTACAGATTTACTGTTGTCAAAGGCCTCCGTCGATGTTGTTATCTATTGGTCCAACCAACAAAGTTTTATATATTTATTATACACACATCCAAATTATATAACAATTCAATTTTTCACAGTATTAATATATATTAATTTATATATTATATAATGTACATTGTTAAGTGCTACTCTCCTCATGTGATGACATACATTACCAAACCGTGAAACTAACACTGTTAATTATATATTTTGGTGTCTGGATTATGTTGATCCTTATGTAGCTTGTTATCAAGAATTATTATATTTTTTATCTCTCCGCTTATCATTGTGTCATGTTAAACAGCAATGTATTCGAGTATTCGACAGTCCATCGTGTAACGAACGATTAAGTCAAAAAACAATGTTCCTATAAAAGTCAGACGTGCACAATGACATTAGTGTTGACATCTGTTATCAAATATACAATTTTATGAATATATTTAATAATATAAAAGTGAAATATATTATGATATCTGAACTGTTGTGCTTTCATTGCACACCGCAAGTATTTCAATCGTTTTTGACCAATGGACTTTGCTACGGGACAATAAAGGCTCCCTATAACCTCGTCAATTTGGAAACGATATTCATTTCATCGTCATATATATTTATATTTATTTTTTTTTTTGTCATTGTTATGAACAACACCATTGATCTCTCTCAGATAAATTAACCTGTGAAACATCCAGTCACGTCATTAATTACGCACCGCATATTATATTGTAATACGTAAGCATTATCTTGTATTATTATTTATTTATTGTTTTTTTATTTTTAAATGGTTTGAAAGCCGCTTTGTCGCACTGAAAATTAAAAGATAATTTGGTCAATTTAATTAAAACAATTTAATATTATTTATTTTTATTGACAATTTTATTATATCTTTTTCTTGTGTTATTATTATTATTATTATTATTATTTTCTGTTTGTTGAGCTCAAAATGGACTATACGACTTGAAATAATCATTGTTGTTATTTACTTATAATATACATTATTATTATTTTATTATATTTTTTTGTCATCTTGAATTGTTATAATTAATAGATATTTGTTTTATTTGTAAACAATAATAACTATAGTTAGGTATCTAATCAATTTTGTAACTACTATGTGCGCAACTAGTCATTTTCACATTAAATACAAAACGTATGATAAAAGAATAAAGAGATGAATTGTTCAGAATTAAAAAAAAAAAAGGAAAGATTAACTATGCCTACATTTTTTTTATATAATTCAATACTAGTGAAGCAGACATATTATTTTTTGGAGCATTACTTTTTTTAATGTTTTGCAGTTGCTTGTATTAAAACATTTTCACAAAGGTTTAAATTTTACTATTTTAAATTATATAATTTTGATAATCTCTGATCATTGTTTTATTATTATTATTATTTGTACTCAAAATGTATATTACTATTGTGCTCACACATTGTAAAAATGTGGTATAATCATAATAATTATGAAATAATAATGTTCATTGTGTTAATACAAACTGGTGTACAAATTAATTGTTTTAATTCAGACAGAAATTAACGAAATTTGACGTTCTAATTCAGTTCCCTGAAGTATGATACATTGTTCAATATATCATTGTGTTGTATATCTAATCGGTTTGAACGATTAAAAGTGTTATTTGTTTTTGAAAATGATTTTGTATTTTAAATGCTTCCATTATTTATGCTATACTCTATTTGCATACACTATTACACCAGGTAAACATTGTGTTGGTCAATGGTATAATTTATGAACAGTTTAATAGAAATACATAAATTAAATTATATTTTAGTCAAAATCTATTATTTATGTATTCATATTGGCCAATAACTGTCATCACTGTCTAATCTCTCTTATAAAGTAATATACAAGTAATAAACTTGTGTCATCTGTTTAAATAAAGTCTACTATAACATGCAACTATGTAATTTAGATATTTAAGATAAAAATATTTGATCAGTGATTAGTGAATTGTTGAAGAACAATATACAACAAACAGTAGAAGTCGCTCTGCAGTATAGTAGATTTCGAATGAACCTAGTCATTGAGTAGGTAACTGTAATGCATGTTAAATTTGAATTTAACACCTAATGAATGTGTTAAAATTGAATTTATATTTTAATGATAAATAATAACGTTTTTTATACTTATTTTTTCTATTATTTTTATTACTTTAATTAAAATAGTAAAGTTAATATTATAGTAAAATATTTATTTAAACAAATTTTTGATAAAAACTTCTTATATAGGTATCTGGTATATATTACCTAAATAACAAATATTATAAATTATAATACACTATAATATCATAGTATAAAAATCGATGCTGACGTACAGTAGAAAGTTGTAAAAATATTCATGGTAAAATAGTTTACAATTATAGGTAGTCTAAATATTTTACAAATTGTATTATGTATAGAAAATAATGATGTCAATAAGTATTACAACATCATTAGAGAAAACATTTTAATTTTTCTATTAAATATACTGCTTTGTCAAAATAAGAACATACAATGTTAAAAAAAAATATAGGTATGAATTGTGTCAATGTATTTTTAATATTTTTAGAATCCTGTATGACTAACTTATTGAGAACCTTGTATTATTACAATTAACCAATTATTATGACATTTTTAGTCTTAAGCTTTTAAGTTTGAAATCTTGAAATCCTTACTTTTAACTACAGAAAAATTCAAATTTTCATGATTTTGACGATTTTTTTTCAAAAATTGATTTAAAAAAATGTGTGAATCTATTGTCGGTACTTTTAAATTGATCAAAATTGCAGTTTTTAATCGCTTTTATAATTTTAACCAACAACTATAGGATTAGAAGTTACAAACAAAACGTTCTTACTGAAAAACTGTTGGTTGCTTTATTTGTTAGGTCTAATTTTTAATTTTTAGTTATGTACCACCTATCTATTGTTTAGCAGAATACAAAACTAATTCACAATAAATAATAAACTCAAGTTCTGCTAATACAAATACAACACAAACTTTATTCTACCTATATGTTAAATGTTTAAAATATAAAATATTATTTACTTAAGTAGGTATTTATTTATATTTTGTTTGTAATAGTGTGGTTAGGTATATTGTATTTAATCATTCAATGACTGTATACATTACTATATTATTTAGGTGTATTTACTTGGTTGTTGGATAGGTACCTAGTTTTGAGGGTTTTTTTTGTAGAAAATGGAACTAAAAATGTGTTATACATTTATAAATATGTACTTACCTATATAATACTAGGAAATACACATTCAATTATATCACACGACCTCGAGTTGAGAGATTGATTTAATATAACATGTTCGATTAAAACCTAGCACTTGAAAACCTACTCAGTACATATATTTGTCAGCTACGGATGGAATAGGTGGGCACAAATTATTAGGTTATTGTGATTATGTGGCTAAACTTTGTTGGAGAGTGCCCAACGTTTGTAGATAAGTGCTTACATTCATCAAGAGGTATTTTAATGAATTCTGTCAATCCATCAATAATAAGTAAAAATCAATTTGTAAACACTGAAAATATTTAATCAAAATATAGTGTTTTTTATAAATTATAATCGTTGACGACTCTTGACGTTGTCGGTGCCGACGCCTTTTTAGTGCAAACACTTGCTTCTCGCAAGAAAAATGATCACGGCTGAAAGTCTCGTAAAATAGTTGGATTTTGGTCGATCTATTCTTCATTTAAAATCTGAAGACTTTAGTCTGCAGGTCAAATCAGATTCATTAAAAGAAAAAAATTATAGAGTAATACAACCAGGCACCAGCATAGATTTAAATTAAAAGTTAGGTAACTTAACGTTTTGACTTTATTTCAATGATTAACTCGTTAATGCCCAGCCTTGCTCTTAATATGGAAATATAGAATCTACAGCACTAAAAGCTGTATAAGTTAAAAAAAGGTTTTTTAAAAACTTAATAAAAAAAAATTATTAAAAAATAGATTATTGTTATTTTTTTGATTTGTCGAGTTTTTGACCAAAATATGTGTCTTATGGCTTACATAATATACTTGTAAGGTTTTAGTTTGTATAAAACGAATTCTTAATAAGTTATCATGGATATAAGAGTGTAACAATATTTGGGAAGTAAATAATTATACCTGCCTATTTTGTTAAATAATATTGTGTGTATTTTTATAAACCATATTTAGCTTTCAAAATTTAGTTAATAATTACAAATCTGAGAAACACTATACATTTTATATTATTATTTTAGTCTTTTATCGAAAGAAAGTTAATAATATAATATTATCATCATCTTTTCGTAAAAAATCGGAACGGCGCACGGGATAGGCAATTTAGGGGCACTTGTGTGTAGAATGCATATCGCCGGCAAGTTATCTAGGATAAAAAATATAAAACGTGGATTCATTTTTAAATTTTGATTATTATATTTTTTGGGAATTGTATGTGTTTTGGTTTTTATTGAATAAAGATTTTAGTGACTCAGATCCAAACGGTAGTTTAGTTGCTCATGGCTACTTTACGTTATTACCTAATGTCGGCACCAATAAGCATCGTTGAAATCACTAGCTATACCCTCCACTCCTTGTCGTCCATAACTAGATATGGGTCAGCAGTCGCTCAACTATATTTATTGTCACACACACACATACACACACACACACACACACACACACACACACACAGTTACATATTTCGTATTGATCTTACCGTGAATTATTATGAATAATTATATAATATGTTAATATTGTGTA